TGAGAGCTTTCCCCTTGAGATCAGGAACACGATAGAGATGTCCACTCTCACCACTGCTGTTTAACATAGTGTTTGAAGTCCTGGCCTCAGCAATCAGACAACAAAATGAAATAAAAGGCATCTAAATTGGCAAAGAAGTCAAACTTTGACTTTTTGCAGATGACATGATACTCTATGTGGAAAACCTGGAAGACTCCACCAAAAAGCTGCTAGAACTGATACATGAATTTAGCAAAGCTGCAGGATATAGAATCAATGTACAGAAATCTGTTGCATTTCTAAACACCAATAATGAAGCAACAGAAAGAGATATCATGGGATCAATCCCATTTACAACTGTACCAAAAACCATAAAATACCTAGGAATAAAGCTAACCAAATAGGTAAAAGATCTGTATGCTCAAAACTATAGAAAGCTTGTAAAAGAAACTGAAGAAGATACAAAGAAATGGAAAAACATTCCATATTCATGGATGAGAAGAACAAACATCATTAAAATTTTTGATACTATCCAAAGCAATCTATACATTTGGTGCAATCCTAATCAAAATAGCACCAGTATTTTTCACAGAAATAGAACAAACAATCCTAAAATTTGCATGGAACCACAAAAGACACTGAAAAGCCAAAGTAATGTGGAAAATGAAAACCCAAGATGGAGGAATCATAATCTTGGACTTTAACCTGTATTACAAAGCTGTAATCATCAAGATAGTATGGTACTGGCACAAAAACAGACACATAAGACCAATGGAATAGAATATAGAATCCAGAACTGGACCCACAAATATATGGCCAACTAATCTTCAATCAAGAAGGAAATAGCATCCAATGGAAAAAAAAGACAATCTCTTCAGCAAATGGTGCTGGGAGACCTAGACAGCAACATGCAGAAGAATTAAACTGTACCGCTTTCTCACACCATACACAAAAATAAATTCAAAATAGATGAAAAACCTAAATGTGAGACAGGAAACCACCAAAATCCTATAAGAAAAAACAGGCAGCAAACTCTATGACCTCAGTGGCAGCAACTTCTTACTAGACAAATCTCCAGAGGCAAGGAAAATAAAAGCAAAAATGAACTATTGGGACCTCATCAAGATAAAAACTCTGTACAGTGAAGGAAACAATCAACAAAACCAATGGCATGGGAGAAGATATTTACAAATGACATATCGGATAAAGGGTTAGTATCAAAAATCTATAAAGAATTTACCAAACTCAACACACAAAAAGCAAATAACCCTGTGAAGAAATGGGTGGAAGACATGAATAGACACTTTCCCAAAGAAGACATCCAGATGGTAAACAAAAAATGAAAAGATGCTCAACATTGCTCATCATTAGGGAAATATAAATCAAAACCACAATGAGATACCACCTCACACCTGTCAGAATGTCCACAATAACAACTCAGGAAACATCAGATGTTGGTGAGGATGTGGAGAAAGGGGAGCCCTCTTGCACTATTGGTGGAAATGAAAACTGGTGCGGCTATTCTAGAAAACAGTGTGGATGTTCCTCAAAAAATTAAAAATAGAATTACCTTATGACCCAGCAATAGCACTACTAGAAATTTATCCAAAAGATTCAGGAGTGCTGATTTGAAGGGGCACATATACTCCAATGTTTATAGCAACACTATCAACAATAGCCAAATCATGGAAAGTGCCCAAATGTCCATCTATGATGAATGGATAAAGAAGATGTGGTATATATACATAATGGAATACTACTCAGCGATGAAAAAGAATGAAATCTCGCCACTTGCAACAACGTGGATGGAACTGAAGGGCATTATGGTAAGAGAAGTCAGTCAGAGAAAGACAGATATAATATGATTTCACTCATATGTGGAATTTGAGAAATGTAACAGATGACCGTAGGGGAAGGGAAGGAAAAGTAAGATAAACACAGAGAGGGAGGTAAATCATAAGAGACTCTTAAATACAGGGAATTGATGGTTGATGGGGATGGGGGGTTGGGGTGGGGAAAATGGGTGATGGGCATTGAGGAACTTGTTGGGTGAACACTGGGTGTTTGTTGTATGTAAGTGATGAATCACACGAATCTACTGAAGCCAAGACTACAATGTATGTCAGCTAACTTAACAATAAATTTAAGAAATAAAAATAAAAATACAATAATCAATAAAAAAGAATTCTACAAGTGAAAAATTTAATTTTTGTTTCAAATAAATAATCTTTACCATTAAAAAAAAAAGAAATACTAATTGAGCACCTATATTTTATGCCAGTTGCTGCTTTTTAATGCATCAATATGGTATATTAGAAAGGTGATATGGTGATATGTACTATGGTGAAAAATAAAGCAGGCATGGCAGATAGGGAATACAGAGCATGTGGGTATGCTGTTGATGCACTTTTAAGTAGGATGATCAGGAAAGACATCAAAAAAAAATGACATCAGAATAAAGAACTGAAAGGAGAGTGGGCAATGAGGATATCTACAAGATGGAGGAAAAACATTCAGACTGGCACATGAAATGGATTTTAGACAAAAATGTACTTGGTGTGTTTGGGAAATAACAAGGAAGCCAAGTCCCTAAGTAGAGTAATAAGCAGTAATAGAAGATAAGTTCAGAAAAAGGGGGTGAGGCAGATCCAGTAGAAGATAAGGTCAGAAAAATGGGGTGAGGCAGATCCCATAGGGTATTATAGGCCATTGCAAGAAATTTGGCTTTTATTTTTTTTTTTTT